GGGGGGAGAGAGAGAGAAGAGAGAGAGAGGGGAGGAGAGAGAGAGAGAGGAGAGAGAGAGGGAGAGAGAGAGAGAGAGGAGAGAGAGAGAGAGAGAGAGAGAGAGAGAGAGAGAGGAGAGAGAGAGAGGAGGAGAGAGGGTACTGTGGGGAGAGGAGAGAAAGAGAGAGAGAAGAGAGGGTAATGGGGGGGAGAGGAGAGAGATGAGACAGGGGGGAGGAGTGGGAGAGATATAAGGGGGAGGGGGAGATATATAAGGGGGAGGGGGGGAGAGATATAAGGGGGAGGGGGAGATATATAAGGGGGAGGGGGGGAGAGATATAAGGGGGAGGGGGGGAGGGATATAAGGGGGAGGGGGGAGGGATATAAGGGGGAGGGTTAGATATATAAGGGGAGGGAAGAGAGATGAGAGGGAGGGACGGGTGTGGGGGGGGGGGGATGCACCAAGGGTACACCAGTTGCTCACAAAGATCTGCTAACCACTAGCACCACTCGGCCAAGCCACAGCTAGATCTCCTTTACCTTAAAACCTAATAAACGTATCACCTTCCTTGTGGTCCTAGTGCATGTGTGTGACAGACATTACAGCAATCCGACGCCTGAAGAAGCATACCTTTCAGCACTATCATGACCCAGAGAAAAACAATCATGATTTCGCTTCTCAGCAGCCGCAGGTAGAGCAGAAACCAGTATAGAAGAAGTCCGCCTAGCATTGAGGTTAAACCAGGAGTCCAATTTAATTATATACACTTCTACGTTTAGTATTTCTCGTGCGTGAAATGATTGCAGTATTGAGCAGTGCTGCATAGGCAGGACCATCTGTGTTCTTCATTCTATACAACCATCATATATATATATTCTCACCACACAGTGTAACGCCTGGAAATCTTAACTAAAATCTATAGTACCTAATTTCAACACGGTCAATATTTACAGGGTAAAGTGCAAAATGATATTACCGAAGGACTTCATATCGACGACTCCAGCTGATGTCAACACGTTATTCTCACAGACAACAACACGCGAGTGAAAATAGTCCCAGACTCCCCGAGTTCTATGCTTATTGTATCATTAAAATGTATTTTTTTGTTATTTTGTATTTAGTGTTTTTCAAAATTACACAAGCACAATTTATGATAAAACATAAAATAGCCGTAGAGATATGATGTACCGTATACATATATATATTGTTCACATGATTTCAGTCACATGGATAAGCGAGATGATAAGAATTATTATAAGAAGATACATTAATAATCACAAAATAGTGAAATGAAAGTCAGTAGAAAATTAAAAGCAAATAAAGCAGTTAAAAAAAAAGTAATTATTAACTTTACAGTAAAATAAGAATAGACAAAATCCCTACACCTATCCCTCAAACAAAATTGTGCCATAAATCAGTAATACAACAATTACTCGTGTATAAATTAGAGCCCAAAGGAACAATACAGTCCCTCTCTCCCGTGAGACTATTCAATGTAGATGTTTTAAAGAGTGTTTGGGATCGATCGCTGGAGCAGACGACGTCAGGCGCGGGCGGCGGCACCTCCCACGCCCTCTCCCACGCCCGTCACGCACACGCCCGCACGCCCACAACCATGTGAGGTCAGCCCCATCTTCCTCATAGTACACCTTTGCTGGGTAGGGCCGGGTTGACGAGTTGAGCCAGTCACAGAGGGGTTGACAGGTAACCACTCCTCCTCCTCAACAATTGATTGTAATGACAGAGTTTCCTCCCCCCTTGACCCCCTTGACGATTGTCATTGGTCGTTATCAGCATTGTCCGAGCCATATGCTGCACGGCTCTCTCCTTATGTATACATTATAGATATGTAATATATATAGATATATAATACTATATAGATTATATATTATTATAGTGTATGCTGTACATTATATACATTACATATATAGTATACTGCATATGCACAGTATATCTATATATAATATATCCACACATACACAATTTTATGTATATATATATTATAACAAATATTTAAAAAATATATATACTGTATATAACAAATATTTATTATAAAAAAAAATATTTTGTCATTAGCAAAAACTACATTGTTGTTGTCGCGGGTCATACGGGAAGACGTGGCAGCCTATTTGAAAATTAAGTTTAAAAATGTGGCAGTCATTTGGTCATATGTTGCACGGCATGACAGGAGACCCACCACGAACACTCGTCAATAAATAATTTTCACTGTCGGGTGCAGGAAGCCTTTACTCCGGATGTCGAGGTCCCACCTAGCTAAGCCGACTTTTGACCTTCCCCAAAATGTATCTCGCAACAATCCTCTACCTCCTAGGTACCTATTTAACTACCTGGTGACCAGAAGAATGAGATGAAAGGAAACATGCCCAACTATTTCTGTTCTGCCTGTGGGGGGGGGGGGGGAATTGAACCTGGGTCTCTTAGTTACGAGCCGAGGACGTAGACCACTGCTACATCTACCTCGTCCTTGTTCCCAATCACATTGAGTGATTACAATTATTCCCTGCCTCCTCATTCTCTCTCTCCATATTTACCTGTCTTTACCTGAGGGCCACTATCTCTAGTGTCTTTGACAGGAAGCTGGCAGATTCTTGGAGATCCTTCCCTTCTTATTGTTCCTGAGGATATCTGCTCATCTTATCCTTCCTCTCCTCCAAAATTTACATTCACTTGAATAAACTTTCTTCACTTGTCTATCATCATCTGGTCTCTAAATGCGGCCAGACCATGTTGGTACACACTTCTCGGTCCTACAGTTTACCGACATTTGTATTCCACGTTTTCCCAAATCATTTTCGTTGATTGCTTTCTCTATTCTAGCACCTCACATGCTTCATGGATTGTCTTTTTTTCTACTATTCTGATTTTGAATTTTTCACATTTGTGCCACACCAGCATCTTTATCAGCATGATAAGGCTTGGCAGCATAGGTTTCTGGTCTGGCAGCATCTCTTCCTAACTACCGGTAGTTTTTCCAAACCACATTGTACACATTTTGATATACAGAATGTATACAGTGCCTCATAGAGTACGTGTTAATAAATCTTAGGCTTTTTCATCAGAAAGATGGAAATCTGAACTTAATCTTAAAACTGTCACAATACTTTCCAAATATATTGGTTTTAACCCTTTGGCCGTGAATTTATGATTGCCCACGTATCCCCGAGAAATGTTTCCTCAAGATATAGCTTTAGAACTTGAAAATTATATTTTTTGTATTGTATTTATATTTATAAAAAGGATCATCATATTTAACATTAAAATTCCTTAAAATTGTTAAATGGTGAAAAAAATATCCTAAAATAATTATTTGCTAAATTTAAACTAGAATTGTCAAAATACTATAACTAATTTGGTCAACCAGATGCATGTCTTCAAAATACTGTATTATCATATTGTACCCCAACTTCTTCTATAGATTGGCTACATCAGTTTATAATCGTGCACTCTTGTGCAACAAAATTCAATCATATTTTAGAAAAAGTCTTTCTATATACAGTACTGTACAGTCATCCACATGTTACGGCCTCACTTATCCAGTAACCGGGTTCTTTTCATATCAAACTTAATATGGGTCTTTAATGCCTCTTCTTACTCGATCTAACCTCGAGTCATAGGTACAGTAAGTTATTAAGAACTAGCAGTGATAGTGTAAGAAGAATGGGGGCGTAAGCAACACTAAACAAAAATCATCACCATGTATACTTCTTAAATATATATACACATATGTACAGCACATAACCCCGCAGGTATTACTTTCACATAGGACGCTATACAAGAATCTCTGATCTTCTAACCCGGTGAATCCACTTCTATGGTCAATCGTCCAACACTCAAGGTACCCTCACCGAGTCTGTCTTCATGGTACTCATGCTGGCACATTCACCTTTCTCAGTAAATCATGGGTCCATCTTCTACAGTATTGTCAGTGTCAAAACACACTGGCAGGGGTCTCCAGCAACACACCGGCATGGGGGTCTCCAGCAACACACCGTCATGGGGGTCTCCAGCAACACACCGGCATGGGGGTCTCCAGCAACACACTAGCATGGGTCTCCAGTAACATGATGGCAGGCTTCCACACAGACTTCAGTTATAACAAGCCTTAACAGACATTAATTCCATCTCATAACACAACTTGGCCATCCCAGGATGTATTGGTCCAATCACCAATGCAGTGGAACCTCGGTTTTTGAATTCCCGTTTTTTAATTTTTCGCTTCTTGAGCTCAATGTCTTCAAAAAATTTGACTTGGTACTCGAGGTTTGCCTCAGTGCTCGAGTTTGTTGATACACGTATGGGCAAACCAAGTTCGTGGCATGCTTCAGTTTACCACTTGTCTCCTGTCGAGTGACGACCGCGCTTTTAATTCTCTGTGAAGAATTTCATTGTTTTTGTGTGTGTTTTTTGGTTTCTGAACATTAAGTTTGTATTACAGTACATATCATGCCATGGGTTCCAAAAAAGTCAGTGGTAAAGTTCAACCTAAGAAAATAATTGTGAGGATGACGATAGAGGAAAAACAAGAAATCATTCATAGTGAGACAACGTGATATCTCGCTACAGATAAGTGTTAAAATGTATGGAAAAACAAGTATCTATAGACAGATTTTTAAAATGTATGGAAAAACAAGTATCTATAGACAGATTATTAGTAAGACAAGCAAGCATTAAGCCTCAACCAGGTCCTACTGGTATGCCTGCAAAATCTAAGAGAGAGTACCCCAGAAATGTCATCACTGGTGTTATAATGGAAGGGGACTCCCTTTCCAAACACTAACACTTCTCCTCCCCCCCCCTTCCTTCCTCACTGTCTTCCATATGTCAACAAGAGTCCTCAATAAAGGTAAGATACACTTGTACATACTGTAGTACAAAATATAAGTGCAGTAGTAGTATGTATAAAATGTATTTTTAGGTTAATATTTTTAGGGGTGTGGAATGGATCAAGTCTATTTACATTATTTCTTGTAGGAAAATTTGTTTTGGTTTCGAACTGTTTCTGGGAACGTATTAAATTCAAAATCGGACGTACCATTGTACTTCACTAAGTATCACAGACCACAGTCTACACCAACTTGACCACTTGTTCCCACTGGAACACATCTTGAGTTCAGGACTGCCTTGGGTGAACTGATTCCTGTTGACCAAGGTACCACCCACATCACTTCTGAGGAGTAAAAGATGAATAGTAAGAAGGAAACTACACAGATGTCAATAAGATCACAGCCTTCCACTAGGGGAACCAAAAATGGGGTCAGTGTGCTCAACAGATGGCGTTGACATCGTCACACCTCCCCTCCCCTCCCCTAACCCCTGGGTTGCTCTGGGCTATATGGTCTTCAACACCCACAGAAAGAAAAAAAAAAAAGAATATTTTGTCTTATAAAAGTGTTCATTTGTGTTCCCCTATCAAAGGAAAAATAAAAAACAAACATATCGTAAGTGACATATTTTGGCTGTAATAGGTCGAGGAAATCTGGCAAAAGTGAGGCGTTGACAAAGTAATCGTCAAAAGGCAGTCAGCTCTGTCCAAGTTGTTAGGTGGGAGTTGCCACAAAGATATTACCTAATTATTTCAATGTCTGTTTGATTTTTTCTGTTTTTTACAGTAATATTATTCAATAGTGTGTAGTGTGATATATTTATATAATAAAATGTGTGAACCATCACTATACTCAAAAGTATTGTGAGCATATTAGTGATTCAATTATGTTCATAAAACAATAAACAAATAATTTTGCAGTTATTACACTATAAACACAGGTTATATATAAGTACAGTAGAACCTCTATTAACGAGTTTAATCCGTTCTGGCACCGAGCTCGTTACCTGGAAAACTCGTCTTTGGAAACAAATTTCCCCATTTAAAATAAAGGAAATAAATTTAATCCATTCCACTCCCAAAAACATCCATACTTGTATGACTTTTTTTATGTAAATATAATACTGCACATGTAAATATAAATGTTTTGTTGTAGTGTTTTAATATTTACTTTACCTTATGAAGAGTAGTTGCTGGCTTGAGGGAGACGATGGAGAGGTGGGAAGGAGGAGAGGGGTTATGGTGTGGAAGGAGAATTCACCTCTGAGTCAGGCGGACTCTCTCTTCTTGGGAATTTTACCCAAATTTCATTTCAAATGTCACACAAGGATGCGTTAGACCAGCACCAAATAAAAAAACTACGTTGATTACACTCGTTGTGTCAACAATATAATAGTCTTACCACGAAGATACAATACAATGCCGTTTTCTCAAATAGGCAATGTGGTTATTAAAGAAAACGGAAATTTCATGGCAAACATGTATACAATCCCCAAGTCGATCGGATAAGTATTGGATTTTATAGAAATATTTGCTCAAATGATGCTTGAGCGCGGTGTTTGGGTGCATTCAAGAGAAAAAGTGTGTTACGTTCAAGCGACATATACCGGCGAAAGTGATAACACTTTCATAAAGTGTTATCACAAAGTGATAAATTAATTAAACATTTTCACACACTGAGTTGTCACTGCTTTATCAGGGCAGCTTTTCCAAGAATGCGTTCACCTTTTCAAACATTCCAAACACTTCCCTGATCTCAGTGGAAGAGGCAGCATTCTC